TATTTTCTCAAGATTTGGAAAGTACTGTTGAGGTACGTTATGTAGTCCCCAGCTTCCAAACTCTTTACCAACATGTCGTCTACGTAGACCTCTATTGTCTTGCCGATGAGGTCTACAAACATTTTGTTAACGAGCCTTTGATATGTTGCTCCAGCATTTTTCAACCCGAAGGACATCATCTTGTAACAGTAAAGACATCGGTCTGTGATGAAGGATGTGTGTTCCTCATCGGTCGGGTGCATGAGGATTTGATTGTAACTGGAGTATGCGTCCATGAAGCTTAATAACTCGTGCCCACTGTGGAGTCTACCAGTTGGTCAATCCTTGGAAGTGGAAAGCTGTCCTTCGAGCAAGCTCTGTTGAGGTTAGTGAAATCGATGCACACCCTCTACTTGCTATTATGTTTATTTACTAAAACTGGATTGGAGACCCACCTCGGAGAGGTGGTCTCCCTTATGAAGCCATTGTGGATGAGCTTCTGAACTTCTTCCTTCAGGGCCTCGTACCTCTCAGGATTGGGGACTGTCCGTTTTTGTCTATGCGGGACAACCTTGTGATCAATTTTCAGGTGGTGGCAACTGACCTTGGGGTCTATGCCTACCATATCCTCATGTCTCCAAGCAAAGATATCGAGGTTCCTACTTAGAAAATCCTTGAGTTTTTCTTTTGTAGTGCTAGATAACCCCTGGCCACCTTCAACAATTTGGATGGGTCTCGGGAGTCCACCGAGAAGCTCTAAAGTTCCTCAACTGGGGATACTTGAGGTTCGTATTCAATTATGCGGAGATCAATCTCATCGATTACCAATACTTCTGGATTGGGTCGTACGTCAATCATTTCGATATCTTTCAGTTCGGCAGGAGTATCACCTGGGGCATCAGCCATAACTACGTCGGCAATGATTACATGGACGTCCCGGGGCTCTACTTTTCTGATGGAGCTTAAATAATATTCTCTTGAGCCTCTTTGGTCGCCTCTCACCATTGCCACCCTATTTTCAGTCAGGAACTTCATGCATGATAGCTCCCAATTCTTTCAAGGCCAGTCTACCCAATACTCCGTGGTAGGTCAATCGGCTATCGACAACGAGGAATTTCATGAAATTCATCATGGTTTGGAGAGACTCTCCCATCTCTACCGCGAGTGTGATTTTTCCTCTCGGAGTAATGTTGTCTTCAGTAAATTCGTACAAAGGGGTGGTGGTGGATGTTAACTCATGGTCCAGTATCATCTTGTCAAGGGTGGATCCGAATAGAATGTTGACGGAGCTTCTATTGTCAACCAACATTCGTTTGAGCCCATTCCGGGCTATGACTGCTCTTACCACAGTGCATCGCAGTGGGGGTGATGAACCCCTTCAGTGTCCTCCTGGGTGAAGACAATAGGTGGAACTTGATCTCTTTGGGAGCCGTGGCCCACAATATAGCTGGTAAGCGGGGGGCGCTTGGCCTCACGGGCACAATTCCTTTTGGCGTTCCGCGTTTTACTGCCTACATAAGGGTCTCCAAAAATGGTATCCACCTCGTGAATAGGGGCCTCATTCTTAGTTTATCGATTTCTTCGATGTCTGCGCCCTTCCCTGGGCCTCTCTACAACACACTTCCTTTGTCATGGAGAGACATCCCTTTGACGTGGAGCGGCCTCTTCACGCCCATGTCGGTAATCGTACCTTGGCAGGGGCATGTTCGCCTGGGGCGATGCATTTATGTCCCTTAGGGGTTCTTGCCGGGAGCGGTGAGCGTAGTCTTGGTAATCTGCTGTGTCGTGTCCATAGGACCGATGGTATACACAGTATCTAGGTGGATTTTGATTCGACCTATTTCTAGGTCCTGAACCTCGACCTCGGCCTCTACCTCTACGGGATCCTTACGAAGTTCTCATCTGCTGGGTGTCGGTGACTGGATTGATATCCTCATATGCCAATGTAGGGACAGTGTTAAGAGTGGTGATGGCCAGTGCTTACCCAAAACTCTCATTACCAACTTGGTTCATTTGATAGTCCATCAAGTGGGAGGTCGGCCCTCTAGCACGCTGCCTTTGAGGAGGTGGGAAGCCTCTATTTGCCCTCTTCCTATGCTCAATTAATTTTTCATTGATGATTTCCCGTTTCATCATCTCGAGTAGGCATCATAGGTGGTGGAATCTTGATTTTGCACGTCCCTCCTAAGCAGGGTGTTCATGTTCAGACCTCCTCTCAATGCGGATAACGCCTCACGATCGGTGAGTTGCACACAATATGTCATCTCATCAGTGAAACGTGATAGGAAGCTCTTTAGGGACTCCCCATGTGCCTGTCTCATGTCTTGGAGACGTTGGATGGGAGCCTCTCCCTCTTTGCTCACAGCAAACCTCTTCAAGAATGTCGTCTTGAATTCAGGCCAACTTCTTATACTCCCAAGTGGTAACCTACTATACCAAATTTCAGCTGCTCCGCTAAGTGTTAAGTGGAAAGCTCTGCATTTCACAGCTGGGGTGGTGCTCCTTAGGCTCATGTGAGTTTTGTAAGCATTCAGATGCTTCTTTGGGTCGCCTCTTCCGTCATACTTTGGTATCTTTGGCATAACATAGTGGTTCAGGACATGGGCGCTCCTTAGTTCCCTTGAGAATGACAAGTTTTCATCATCATCGTCCAAATCACAGGACCTCTGCTACTCATCAGAATCATTTTCTTCAGCCTCATACCTCGGTGGTTGGTGAGAGGTTCTGGGACGATTCCTTGCCTCTTCCTCCCTCCTTTGGCTCCTATTTCTAGGCGGAGCAACAGGGGGGTATTTTCATACCTTTCCTTCGGTTGTTGAGGCATTGGAGGTGGAGGCGATGGCCTTATCCAAGGCTCGTGATCCTATTGTTGTCTGAGCTTCATTCAGCGGGGCTAATTCTGTCAAATACACTACCTGACCTCATATGTCTTTGCTCTTGCTCATACGGAGGTGGAAAGTTATCATGGTGAAAAGGGGCCTCGATAGGTCGGTCGGAAGCGTAGTTGGAGTGTCAACTTCTACTTCCCTTTCAAATGGGCTTACACCTCAGCTATAGTCTGGCGAGGTAACCCTATGGCTTTGAACTTCATCTTCTTGCTAGTATTGCCCTTGAGGGATGTATGGAGGAGGCCATAAGTTCCCTCATAGCCATGTTTTGGCTAGCAATGTCCCTCATGTTAGCTGCCATGGCGACCATTTCTCTTAACAATATGGCAGTCACACGCATTCCACCTCTTCGGTGGTTGTGATGGGGTCTATGTCGAGCTGCTGGGGCTACTGCTTGAGGGGACACATTAGCATTTTCTCTTACCCTCCTGGGGAGTGTATTTTCGTTTGAACTCATTTTCTTTGTGTCTTACCCTTCAGATTTTTGCTAAGTCGTGGGGCTTCCTCTTGTTCTTTTTTAAGAACAAATCATTTTTCAAGGGGGATGCCCAAATGTTCTTCTTTAACAAGCTTTCACCACAAGGTTGTTTGTGGTTATGGTATAGTTTCCCACAGACGGCGCCAATCTGTTGACCCCAATAAATGTTGCCAACAGATACCGGACCCACTTGCGCACACGTGAGCAGAAGTCCAACACACAAGGACACGTGGACGATCTAACAAGGACAGATCAAGGGCGTGGGAGTAGCTCAACGACGCTGGATCAGAACGTTTGGAATCCCGCAAGATGATGGTAGACCGATTGTACAATAATTACCGATCGATGTTTGTAAATGTATATGTAAAAATGTGCAAACTCGTATTATGTTGCAAGATAATAAGAGAGAGTTGAGTAAAGTGCAGTTTTTTGTATTGATTCTTACATTAGCCTTTGTATGGGGTATATGGGGAAGTATTTATAGTGTCACAAGTTAGATTGTGACCTTTGGTTCGGGGTACACGTGGCCTCATCCGGTTGAGTTACATGTCAAATTGTAGACATCAGCCGCACCTAGCCTGTTATACAATTATTGATTGGCAGAGCCGCCTCTACTAGTGACAAGACTTAACATTTACACTCATGACAAACGTCTTATCAATTATTCAAGTAAGATCTTTGTGCAGAAGATCTCTTGGGAGAGATATCTATGGGAGATGTTGCTTTGCGCTTCGGAAACTGTCACTTCAGCTACAGAGCTTCGGCAAACAGGGTCTCGGCATATGGACTTCGGGAGCTCCTCATGAGGCAATGATAAATGGGCCTCGATGTATATGTGCTTAGGCATTTGTGGACCTCGGTTTGTGGGCCTCGGCTATGCAAATCACCTCGGATTGAGTTCCACGTGGTTCAGCATGAGTTGACTGTGGGCCCTGGTGGGTTGCCCAAGTGTGCGAACACGTAACAATATTAATGATGGTTTAGAGAGAGTGATATAATAATTATGACAATGAAATTAACCATGAAAAGGTGATTGGTTTGCCAGGTTAGACTTTTACTCTTAATAAGAATTAATTCATTGACTATAAGAGAGTGCTACTTTACGTGCTTTCCGCAAATTAACATTTTTTTGTTTGATTAATGTGAATATATATCAATCATAAGACGAGTAAAACTATATTGGGCATCCCCAAGCAACGAATATCAAAAAATGCATCAAAAATTACAAATTAAAAACCAATCGTTTAAGTTTCAAGTTGAGTTAAAACATAAAGATACATTGTAAACATTACCTTGTACACGTGTTTTGATCCTTTCAATAATTCTATCCACATGCGGTCGTAGAATCTCAAAGATCTTCCTGTTCCTAGCTATCCATATTTGATAGATGGTATATGCAAGAGCAATCCTCTTTGCCTCGCTATGCCAAGATGTCCTGCATACCTCCTTTTTTATTCAATTTAATGTGCTGCCAATTGTCGTCATTCAGCGTGTAATCCCTAGCCATGCTCTAACGTAGCCCCAGATGGATGAATTGAATGAATATTGGAAGAATAGGTGCTGGCCAGATTCCTCATGTGATCCTCAGTATACACAATTTCTATTGATATCAAGATGCAATAGTTTACCTTTGGCTAGGAGCTTTGATTGGGCGCTTATCCGCAAGATGAATGAATGTTTAGGAATAATGCAATAATTCCAAACATCCCCAGCTCAAGCCTTCTTGTTCCCTGTCTGTATGAAGAAATCATATGTGTGTGAGCTGTTCAAGTTACCTCCAACAACCTACTTCGATAATCAGTCCGAAGTAGCTTGAGCAATTCTTTCAGGCTGGCCAATTCTGTCCCTGGTCAGTTTTCTAAGCAACGGGGAGTCACCTTTTCTTGATGGAAAGTCCCAGATTGTTGTCCCTTTCAAGTAAACATGATTGATCCAGTGAATCCTTCTTCTTATGGATGTTCCAAAGTGATTTTGTAAGCAAGACAAAATTCTAGCATTTGATGTCTCCAAATTCAAGGCTCCCTCACTTTTTGAAAGGCAAACATTCGTTTATGCTACCAACAACATTTTAGATCCCTAAAGAAAATTTCGGTAAAGTGTAATAATTCTAGAAAGTAACTGTAGGTAGGATTGAAAAGATAGACAACCAAAAATATTCAACACTTTTAAGCACGGATCTCACATGTTTCGCTCTCCCAGCATAAGACACCGATGAGCTTGTCCATGAACAAACAGATACTGAAATTTTGTCCATAAATGGAGCATAAGAGCTGACTTTGAGTTTTATGGCTGCAAGTGGAATGCCCAAGTAACGGAATGGTATTGAACCCTCGGTATATTTGCTAACTTTTAGATGTTCTCTGACTGTTGCCCCATGAATTTCAATTGTATATAGGTTAGATTTGGCTGTACTCATCTTTAGTCCCTAAGTATGCCCAAAGTAAGATAGACAATCCATCAAGATGGCACAAAAGTTACATCTGCTCTAGCATAAAGCATCAAGTCTTCCGCAAATGCCAAGCGTGTAATCTTTAGGGGGCCACATTTTGGATAATAGTAGAAATCGCTATTCTCGGTTGCTTCCTTTAACTTCCTTGAAAACTATTCAAAGATAACACAAACAAAAAAAAAAGAGAAATAGGATTACCTTGCCGAAGGCCCTTTTTCGCTTTAATAAACCCATGTAAGTCACCATTTAGTGCAATGGAGTATGAAGGTGTAGTAATGCAATCCATCACCGAATCAATGAATATTCTAAGGAATTCCAACCCTTCAAGAACGGATCTAAGAAAGTCCTAATTGACCGAATCATATGCCTTCCTTAGATCAATCTTAAGTAGGCATCTAGGAGCAACCCTTTTACGGTCATATTGCCTCAAGTTCTTGAGCAAGATGATTATTTTCAATCATATTACGCCCCTTCACAAATGCAGCTTGTGCTTGATCCACAATAGTATCGAGAATATGCTGCAAGAGAGAAGCAAGAATCTTGGTTATAACTTTGTAAAACACATTGCAGCAAGCAATCAGTCGATAGTCCCTAATAGTAGGTGAATGAGTAGCCTTTGGTACCACTGTAATGACAGTGTTAGTGGTTTGCTTAAGTAAAGACCTTGAGGAGAAAAATTCTTCAATCGAATCCATGATATCACTCCCAAAAATCTCACAAAACTTTTAAAGAAACATGACAAATAACCATTCAGCCCCGGGATTTGTCATCTCCTATACCAAATAGTGTTTCTTTAATCTCTTGCCTCGAAATGTCCTGTACAAGGTCTTGTGCTTGTTCCAATGAAACTAGCGGACCATTCTGCAATATACCAATATCAAAAGGTTGTAGCGTGCTGCTCGTGCCCAGCAAATCAGCATAAAACTTTGTGAATTTAGTTACTTGATCTTGCAATGTAGTGTAAGCTCCGTCCCTGCAATATAGTTACTTTTCGTGCTCTTCTTGACCACCAAGTGAAAGAACTCGAAGCATTTGTCACTATATTTCAAGTACTCACATTTAACATTTTGGTAATAAAAGCTCCTTTCTGTTTCACCTAAGTCCCTGGCTTGTTTTCTCAATCGAGCCACCTTACACTGAAGTTGAGAATTAGTTATATCATCATGTAATTCCATCCTGCTGACTTTAGTTCCCTTGCGGCAGATTCAACTCTAGCAAAAATATGTCCAAGGTATTTGTCATTAAGCCTCTTAAGGACCCCTTTGAGACTTTACAGCTTCTTGCAACTCCCTACTGCTTTGAACTAAGTCGTGGAAGTCCATACGATTAGTCTATATGTTGAAGAATCGAAATGATTTTCTCTTACTCCCATCTTGTCCAAAAAGTGAGACAATACATGGACAGTGATCGGATAGGCATCCCGATGGTTGAAAATCTGAAAGAACGGATCCAAGATCCCCTTGGCTTGTGGTTTATATTTCTTCTTGATTTCGATTCTTTATTTTTTTATTCGATGGTATCAAAAAACTTCCCTTTTGCTTTTCATTAATCTTTTCATTTTGATTTTCATTACTATTTTCATTTCTATTCAAATTTAAAAAAGTAATTTGCTTGGTATAAACCAAGATTTCGTTTTATATGTATTATAAAATAACAAAAATTCAGGGATATTGAGTCCAGCTTGCCCCCATTCATCATTCACTACAGCTCTATCAATCTTACTCCAGACCGAGTTATTGGTCCATGTATAAAAGCATCCTATGGACCTTACATCCGTAAGACCAACTTGTAGATAGCAATCCTCAAAATCCTTCAACTCATATGGGGTATTGCCTGCTCATTGCACTTTACTTCACTCTTAAGAACATTTACACATAACTAGATAGTGAATGACTTGAGAACTAGTCTCCATAACTTCAATCTCATCTTTGAAGGATTCCACAAAATCAAAATCCGACTAGCATGGTGCGTAGAGAAATTATTTGCTTGTAAAAACTCAATGAATGTAATAAATAATAATAATAATAATAATATTGTTGAATAATAATTTTAATGTGGTACAAGAAGTTGTAATTTGGCGGAGATTGTATAGCAATTTTGAGATGATATTACAGTGGATTAAGTTGGATAAAATGACAATCAGTCATAAAACAGAATATGGAGGTGAAGTCAGAAAGGTATAATTAAGTCGAGGATAGTGTAAATGTTTAGCTCAAGATTGTTTGAGAATAGTTGAAATGAAATAAACTTCAGCAAATCGACGATCCATCCATGAACATATCCTTTACAAGATGAAGTTCTTTTCAATGACAAAACATTTGCCATACATAGCAACAAAGTAGAAAAGTCCATCTTTCTATATCAGCTTCGACTTGACAAGATAGACCGATCAGGGGCGCTCACGAATAAGTCATTACAAGATTCGGAAATGACATCTGCAAGAAAATATCCAACTATTTGAGAGTTAATTGGAATTAAAAAAAAAAAAAAAAAAAAAACCCCTAACCCCCCCCCCCCCCCCCCCAACAAAAAAAAAAAAAGTATAATATTATTCATAGCGACTACAATAATCATAATCGTCTTATGCTACATCCTATAATCATCTTATGCTACATCCTATGAGTTATGATTTTGATAATTAAAAAAAAAAAAAATCAATCAGATGGATTTTCATATTAATAATGAAACAATCACAAATAATGAAATAACATTATTCCCCCCAAAAAAATAATAATAATAATAAAATAAAAATTAGTGTGAGAGTTTAAGGACGAGTATCAGTTGAAATATGATTCACAAGGATACAGTACACGCAGGCGATGGTGGACAGACACAAGTGCAAGTAAAAGCACGCGTTGATATAAGAGGTGCCTATGATTGATCAACCAAAATGGACTTCATTAATTTTATGTATATATCTCACTCTAATGTTAAGGAAGGCAATTCATAAAATCAAATGACAACAAAAATGGTATTAGATGTTGTCCATTTTACGACACTTGGTCATCTTGAAGGCATTTGGTGTCATATTATAATTAAGAAATATTGTTTCCAAACTATCCTCGAGAATTATCAAGCAGTCGAGCATAATAGAGATTTATTGACTAATTGAAAGATAGTCTCAAACAAGAGCTAAAAAAATAAAATACAATGAAAGTGTAACGTACCCCAATAGGCCATGACCTGACCAAGACCTGGGTTTCACGGTCAAATTTATCAAAGCACCTTGCCTCATAATCACCACGGGCATTGCATGGCCTTGATTTATCTGAGCTTCAGCAGCAAGCCTCTGTAACAAGTTCTCACCTATTTCCACATTCCCAAATTTTACAATCTGATCTCCAAGCTGTAAGCCATCTGTTGCTGCTGGAGACCCCTCTGTAATTTCATCAACCATTGCGAAGGGTCTGCTAGAGGCAACAACTACCTCCATGTCCATACTGTTACTACCTCCAGCAATAGGATTGCCAAAAGACGAAGATGTGCCCAGATTATCGCCTTCTTGAGTATTTAATCCTGCAACCACACCTAGAGAAATTAAGATAATGCTTTAACTTGCATAGAGTAGTGTGTTACACTAATTCATTATAAAATTGAAAAATCAGATCATAAATAGCTGATGACAGAGCCATAAATTGTATTTTACACATCATTCATAAGCAATCAAAGTGCAACTCCGTTGGTGTACAAGTGGAACCAGCAAAAAGCAGAACAAGCCACATGATTTCATTGAACCATGAGCTTCAAAAGGGAAAGCAAGGATCAGTCCCCCTACTGATAGAACTGGAGCAGCATAAAACTACCCAAGAACCAGAAGGTATGATGTACACAGGACAGACAAACTACATTTAAGACTTAGATTCAGAAAACTTATAATATTCATTGAGACCAAAATAAAATGGTTGAGAAATTCTCTCACTGTAGAAACTACAGACACAAAAAAAGGGCAGATTAGAGATCTTAATTCTTATCTTAGGACCAGAAATTAATTTGTAGAGGAATACTTGGTGAGGCAAACAATAAATCATGAGCCTCTATTACTTGTCATGCATGCAAAAAATTTCAAATAAGTGCAATCAGTGTGAAGTTAATATCTGAATTACTCACCTGGATCTTTGATGGAATCACTAATTGGAGCAAGCTTAGCAGAATGTAAAACTTGAATTTTTTGATTTATTTTCTCTGTAGTATCCTCATAATCATTACGCAGCTCTGAAGCAATAATAAAGTGAGTAAAGACATGGGCTTGCATACAGTTATGGTATTTGCTGCAACAGTCAGATTTTCAATGATTTCTAAATTTACATAATCACATACATTCAAGATCACAATTTATAAACAAAACTATAGAGAATGTTCGTATATACATATATGTGGATTATATGTCGATTATTTAGATAACTAAAGCAACTATGCCTCTTGTTTGCCATATTACCATGTGAACAAGAGGTATTTATAAAATGAGCACATGGAGATAATGAATTATGCCAGTTTTTGAAAATCCATGCAAAAACAAAAACAAGGAAAGATGATTCATTTAACGAAAGTGATGCTTTTTAAAACAATTGTATCTGAGCAGAAACAGAACATACACATATCTGTACACAAGTGTGTGAGAAAATATTTAACTGGTTCATCAACAGAACCATATTGTTTCCGTCCGCATAATGCTGCATTTTTTCAGACAGAAAGAAAATACCTAAATTCCTCGGTTGCCCATTGATAAAAAATCTCCACTTCATCACAAATATTGTGAGAAAAACAGCTAAACAAGTACATTCATTTCCTTCAAAATACAAAAGTTATTAGCGTTCTTTTGGTGATTACTTAGAGTCAACTGTGACACAAAAAACAAAAATAAAGTAATATTTTCCCAAATGCATCAGACAATAATAAATATATTCTGAAAAATAACAACTGCAAAGGAAGCTGCAAACAGGTAGAAAGATAAGCTAACTAAAGTTAAAGAATAAGAAGATGTCACGATAGCAACTCACATAATAATAACAACTAATTTTATGGAATAAAACGAAGGGATAATTAGCAAAGTACCAGAAAGTCTTTGGCGATCCGCTCGTACTGCCGGAATATCAATATCTGCCCTCGGAAACCCCTGCACATCAACAAATTACCGAAAACGAATCACTCAGCCTGTATGTTTGAATACTGATAAAATATAACGAAACTACACTGAGAGAGAAAAGAATTAAAGGTTAAAATATGTAATTACCTCAGAATCGAGGAGATTTCCAGAGAGGCCAGGGCCGCCGGACTGGCAGAGGCGCTGGATGATTACATTCATCTCCGCCTCAATTCCACTTCTTTTCTCCATCAGATTCATCGCATCTGCTTTCAAATTCGCACCCACCATCTTCTAATTAATTCAGATTGTTCTTTCAAATCTTTATAATCACCTGCTAGTACAGAGAAGCTGCTGCTAGGGTTTGCCGAAATGTAGAAGAGATTATTGCCACCGTTTTCCATTTTTTTTAGTCGCCACCTTTGTAAAAAGAGGTAATTATGCTAAACGTCCTCCATCTTTATGTTAATTTTGTACTTATATTCAAATTATTTTTCTTTACATTTTTATCTTCTATCTTTCATTAATTATCTCATATTTTTATCTTTTTATTTCTGACTGCAAAAAAAATTTTTCATTTTGCAATATTGAATTACAATAATATGTGTATAGCAATTTTAAGGTGATTTTTGCGATAATTTTGTGTGTTGTGTGTGGAAACTATAGAGTTTCGAAATCAAAACATATTTGAGAATTTGGTTAAACCAAATAGAATAATCAATTGAACCGAGCATGTTCAATTTGGATTGACTTATATGTGTGTGTGTGTGTGTACATGCGTATATACGTGTATATGTATGATTATAAGTTGGCCTGAAAACTGAACCAACCACTCATCATGCCCACCCTAGGTTAAATCCTCTAAGAGGATTGGATATTGTGTATCTTGCCATGTGATCATTATAATATTAATAAGTGTTTGTTGAGAATTAAAATTAGATTTTTTATAGACATTTTTGAAATGTGTGATTAAAAATTTTTAAGACTCGTGAAATATATAGTTAAAATTTAGGCCATGTTTGAGCCCCATTATTTCTTCATTAAAATGAAAATATGACCGTTATCCATTAAAATGAAAGACTCATGAAATATATAGTTAAAACAAAACTTGTTAAATTCAATTTTTCTACTCTTTTAACCATTTTCAAAATGGGGTACTTTTAAATTTGACCCAGTTAAAGGTTCAAAATTTCACTTTGACTTTGAAAATCATGAATATTATCACATTGACCTCTTGAATGGTAAAAACCAAAGATGTCATTAAATTTATTATACAATTACAAAACAATGTATTGTTGACAGAGCTTTACTACTCTTTTAATTAATAATTGAAAACCAAACACTTCCCCACTTATAAAACTTCAAAACGAGCTTTCAAGACAGAAAAAACTCTCATCTTTCATCTACTTGAACCTCAACATTTCAAAAAAGTTCAAACGCTGAAGCTGATTTTTTTTTCATATCAATTACTTCAAATCGTTAAGTATATTAACACATGTTTAATTTCGTTTTCAATAAATTAGTATACGTTTGAATAGAGAAATTTTATTTCGACGTAGTAATAGTTAGTATAAATTTTTTTAAACAGATCTTACCTATAAAAAATTAAAAAAATTTGAACAGATCTATAATTTTTTTCTTTAGAACCGTAGAGAAAAAAATTCGTGCGCAAAACAGCCAAACAGTCGGCTGACTGTTGGCTGTTAAACAGCCGACTGTCAGCTGTTTAACAGCCGATGGTTTGGCTGTTTAACAGCCAATTGTCTGTTGACAGTCGACTATTGACACTGATTTTTTCTTATAATTATGAAGTTGATTAAATCTATTTCCTCATGCAGATATGATAATCTCCGTCTGTTATTTCGGTGATTTCGAATTAAATGAAAATAATCGGTGGGAATGGAGATGGATGAGTGACATATGTGGTTGTATTGCAATTCTCATAACAGATAGTACATCATACTCAGAAATGTAATACAATTTGCAAAATAAGCTGAATGTCGATCAATCTCAATACGATATGCAATTGAGATATCTATTCAATGGTTATGGGGATTCATCCATTCCGATGCCACCGGTATTTGTTACTAATGATGTCGAATTGAATTGTCTATTAGAATTGAATAAAATGCATTGAACTCCGACTGTTTTTGGTGTGACTTTAATTAAGAAGGATGTTATCAAAGGTGAACGCGAAGATCCAGATAGGGCGGATAACAATGATCGAGGTTTTTGGGAGATGGTGGAGATACTTCCTGCGGATGATATGGTTATTCCTAAGACAGTTGCTTCTGATCGTGATGCCGCCGTTACGCGCAGAATTCCGTCGACGGTTGAAGACAATGAGAATATAAACGAGTTTACAAATGAGAATTTGATTGTTTTATCCCGACAGAGACATGAGTCAGGTGGGAGCTCACAGGTTGGAACAAGTAGACCGTCCTCCAATTCTTCCCGTGTGGCTCCCGATGTGAGGACTTGTATGTCGAGCAACTGCTTGAAACCAAGAAAGATTTGCAGGAAGCTGTGCACCTGCTGGCATTAAAATATAACTTTGAGTTCAAGGTAAAGAAATCAAACAAGTCATTGTTGACAGTTGCCTGCGTCGAAGACAGTTGCAACTGGCACTTGAGAGCAACTAAGATGGACACGAATGAGTATTTCGTAATTCGTAAGTATTCACAGGAACATACTTACAAAGTGGAAATACTTTGAAACGATCACAGGCAAGCTCGAGCATGGTTTATTGGTCGACAGATAATGCACAAGTATCAGGACCCACGGACGATCTACAGACCTTCAGACATCATTAACGACGTCCGTCGAGAATATGGAGTGGTCATGAGCTACTAGAAAGCCTGGAAAGCTAAAGAATGTGCGTTGGAGGATTTAATGGGATCGGCTGAGGAGAGCTATGCTAAATTGGCCAGGTATTGCCATAACATGGGAACAACTACTCCTGGCACGACATTTTTTATTGAGACGGGGGCAATAATTATTTTAAGTATTTTTTCCTGGCTCTCGGACAATGTATTCGGGGTTTTCAAAATGCAATGCGACCCGTAATTCTTGTTGATGGTACAACTCTAAAAGCTAAATATCAAGGCAAATTAATTATTGCTACATGTCAAAATGCCAACATCCAAATTTACCCTATGACATTCGGCATAGTCAACACCGAGAATGATCTGTCCATGCGTTGGTTCTTTTCGAAACTGAGGAAAGTGATCGGGGAAGTCTAAGACCTTGCCTTTGTAATCGATCGGGGACAGTCTATAATAAACGGTATTACTGAAGTTTTTTCAGAGACACGTCACGGGTATTGCATGTACCATATACAGGGTAATTTGAAGACTAGGTATCGGGGCAAAGGCATTGTTTCATTGTTCAGGAGAGCAACCGAAGCTTACAGTGCTGAAGAGTGTAATAAGTTTATGTTCAAGATAGGAAGTAAATCATTATCGGCGTTGGAGTATCTGACGAACATGGAGATCGAATATTGGGCGCGGTCATACTTTTCAGGACGTCGATACAACGTGATAACGTCGAATAATGCGGAGTCTCTCAATGCATTGTTTAAGAAAGATCGAGAGTTATCAATTCTCGCAATGATAGAGAACATTCGTAACAATCTGTAACAGTGGTTTCATGACCGACGTGCAGCATCACAGAGTTGGACTAGCGTGCTGGCCCCAACTCAAGAGGAGAAACTCTTTAAGGTGGGAAAGGTTGCGAGAAAGTTGAATGTGAAAACACTAGACGAGTTCCGCTTCTTCATGCAATGTGCACGTAATACGGCATATATGGTGGAATTGACTGATAACACGAGCACTTGTACGAGATTTCAGTTGGAGAGTTTTCCATGTGAGCATGCAGTTGCGGTGGCCGTGTATCGAGGCTTTGCAGAACATTATGCTTTTTGTATTATACGACTGAGTCTTGGAGAACAGCATATGCTGAGACTATATTTCCTCTACTGAATGAAATCGAGTGGGAAGTTTCCGAGCACATTCTCCAGTTTTATGACTTGTTGCCATCAGCAGTTGAACCGTGTGGTTCTGGACGTCCAAGTACATCTAGAATACCATCTACCGGAGAGTTTCCTCGATCGCGTAGGTGTGGCAGGTGTAGAGTCATAGAGCATCCTCGACAATTTTGTACCAGTCAAATTCCCCCAAATGACAATTAGACAGGTACGTTAAATGAATAATATTTCCATTTACTTTATAAATCCAGTCAGACGGGCACACAAATCATCATTGTGTGTCGGAGATACACGGGGGACGTGTCTGGACGAGGGAGAAGAAGATACCCTCGGCAGTGGCGATGCTAATGGTGGCGGCTATGCCCTCAGTGGAGGCGATGCTAATGGCAGCGATGATGCTTTTGGCAGAGGTGATGTTAATGGTGGCGACGATACTCTCGGCGGAGGTGATCGTCGATCAGCTGGACCGCCCTCCTACATAAATAACATTAAAAATTATTCAATAAATATATACGTCGACGATATTCAATAAATTATATTTAATTCACATACCCAATCTCGGTCCAAACTCGGATCAGACATTTCCTCGTCTTCAGTGTGAGGAACGCCTACATCCCGCACAAGACTCCGAGTCTCCTCTTCCATCGACGCTCGTCAACTCGGGTATGACTTCAAGATGACATATTAACATTTCAACTAGTCAACGATCATATAAACAGATTTAAACTACGTATAATATAAATCACAAATGCATAATATTTACCTGAGGATCGTCAAAGATGGCCGATATCTGTTTCCCAGTTGGACATCTCTTCGCTCGTGACGATCTCCAATGATGCATCCGAGGGTATCGTGTCTCCCCTTCGCTTCGCACGAAGCGGTCCCCCAGTGCAAGGACTGTCTCATATACCCAAATCTGTAACACATAAACTTATTATGCATAAATGTAATATACTGAAACTTTAACTTTAATTATACTAAACATTTACCTGCACCGCTAAGGGCAATCCATATGTATCGTATTTACGCATTGATCCCCTCGACCTCGAGTGTAATCTAATGAAGACATGTACGGTGTTTTCGTAGCATCTCCGGCCCCGTGGATAGTTGATGAACACATCAATGTCGTCAACAACTTCCAAATGAAAAATGTCGATGGCAGTCTTCTTGTGATGATACCTCATTACACTCTCGTAGATTTAGACTAGCCCAAGCTTCAATCTATCTAGCATCTTATTGCACCCCTTGATCGCGACCATCAACTCGGGTAGATGCGCCGACCCATGTCCCTGGAAGTACGTTTCGTACATCCTATTGCTTCTCTCAATGGCTGCATTGTCGCCCGTAATTCTCAGTCCAATGATCAAGCTAAACTCATATATCGAGAAATTGACGACCTACCCCGAGGTCGAAGTGGAGGGAATCGCCGTCGACTGGCTTCAAAAGCCGACATATAAGTGCATCGATGATCTGTCCTGAGTACTGCACCTCTCGCATCTGGTACAGTGTCCACAAGAAGGACTGTCGCAGTATATCTCCGTGATGATCATCAAGCAGCTCCAACACCGCAGTAAAACTCTCAAAGCTACTGTTCCAAGTAGCTTTCCCCGTCATCCGTCTCAATTCCCCACCTAAATGATACTCCATCCTGCAAAAATTCAAATGTTAGAATATTGAATAATAGATAATAAAGTAACGCATAATCTCAAAAAATCAAGGCAACCGAATTATAACTACCATACAATACGCAAGACATTGACGCTAATAACAAAATAAATTCAATGTAAATTTAAAAATTAAAATAATTTAGTTATAAAGAAATTTAATCTTGCATATTACATTTGGAAAATATATTTACAAAAAAATTTCAAATTAAATACATTTAAAACAATAAAAAATATAAATATTATTTAAATAAATTAGAACAAAATCAAATATTATTTCATAAAAGAAAAATAAAAGGAACAAAATAAATTGTTCAATTCGGACAACATTATCTATTCAATTATTAAATTATATAAAAAAAAAAAGCCAACTATAAAAAAATTAACATAATTATTATTTAATCAAATTAATCTTGTAATCATTTAAAAAATATATTTACAAATAAAAAATTTCAAATTAAAAACATTTAAAAAAATTTAAAGAACATTTATATTATTTAAATAAATTTGAAAAAAAATCAAATATTATTTCATAAAAACAAAAATTAAAAGGAACAAAATAAATTGTTAATTTTAGATAATATTCAATTATTAAATTATATAAATAAAAGACAATTATAAAAATTAAATAAATTATATAATTACTATTTTATCAAATAAAAAAATAAATTAATTATAAAAATTGATAAAAAAAATAAAATTAAAATTAAATATATATAACAGTCTGGACCAACTGTTAACAGTCGGCCCATTGACTGTTTAACAGTCGGTATAGACTATTAACAGTTATGTATCTTCTGTTAACAGTCGGTCCAGACTGTTCACAGTCCGTGGCCCGACTGTTAACAGTCGGTCCTTTCACAGTCGAATCAACCCGATTGTTAACAGTCGACGTCTTTCCTTAGCCGAAAATCGCCATTGTCGAAGATGGAGAGGTTCAAAAATTACAAAAAATTCACATTTTTCACCCCATAATGACCCACAATCTAACTACATGCATCTTCATCTAATTAAATCGGAATAAATGTAAAAATAATGAATGAAAACTGTAACAAAACAATAAACTTCGAGCGCAACAAAACTAACAGGAATAGTTCGGCCGGTGCTACGTACAGGTCTTCGATTGAATGATCTATGACGTTGGTGGTTGATTGGTCAGTTCTTCAGGCAACTGTGGCATCGTTTTTTTTTTTTGGATCAATCGGCTAGAGATTTCACTTTCAAACAGTCTACAGTACGGAAGGGTAAAATCGTTATTTTAGTGTAAAGTTATATTTTAACTTAATTTTTTTTAATTAATTTGATGGGTCAAAGGCTAATTTTAAAATTTGCTACAATTCAAGAGTCATTTCTATGTATTTCCTCTTTTCAAAACTCTATTTTTTAAACTAATGGCCATGGGCTATATAGAATGGGCAGTTTTAGGGTGTGGGTGCACCCGTAATCCATCTACCTTCAGCCAATCCACATCCATATCTCCTACGCATATTTCCACTCTCTAGCCATGAGTGACTTTTTAGAGTAATATTATCGTACATTCGTTCTACTGCTATAAATATATAAAGGCTGGCACACTTTCTAATGGCCGCCATTAAAGTGTCATCGCTAACCCTCCTCGCTTCAACTACTACTACTTCTTCTTCTTCTTCAGTTTTCACTAAATTGCGATTTGGTCCCATTTGGGGTATTTCTACAGCTACACCCTTCTGTTACAAAAGAACAAGGCGCATGGCTCACTCAATTGCTCGGGCTACACTCGGCCTTACTCAGCCTAATCAAATCGAGGTCCCTAAGGTATCTTTTCACGATAACATCTATTGACTTATTTTTATTTTTATTTATGGTTGTTTTGTCGATATTATTTTGGATACTTTTTAGAGTTCATATTTGATAGGCTTATGGTGTTTGCACACGAGTCTAGATGGTTAATAGTTATAGGATGTATAGATTACATTTGTATAATTTAACTTATTGTGCAATGAGATCTTTGCTTTTGGAGTCTTGATTGATTTCCTTGAATTATGTCTGCATATTTGACGTTTAATCTGTGGGTTTCGTTCTGTGTAATAATTCCATCAAGTTAGTGCTTTCGAGTTCTTTGTGTAAAGTAAAGATTTTCAACTTTTGTACTTCATCCGAGTCCCCAATAATATGTAATGTTTTCTTTGTGATATTCTGTTATGAGTTCATAGATCTTATTGCCTATTTTCAAACAAACCATTTGTGCAAGTGTGCGACTTATTGTTCATTTCCAAGCAAATCATATGTAAGAATGTTCTGACGCGAATTTTATTTGCGTTTCTATTTGTATGCAGGTGAATGTTTTGTCTATCTGTTCATTTTAAGAAATTAATGATTTTATTGTTACTAAATTTGATATTTATACTTGGAATGACTGAAGATCTCGTTTGCGGCTAAAGAAATTGATTTGGTGGAATGGAAAGGAGACATCCTTGCAGTAGGTGTTACAGAGAAGGATATGGCCAAAGATGAGAATTCGAAGTTCAAGAATTCCACATTGCAAAACCTCGATTCCCATTTAGGTGGTTCTTTGTCTGAAGCCTCGACTGAGGAGGATTTTACTGGAAAAGCTGGACAATCAACAATTCTTAGGCTTCCTGGACTTGGTTCAAAAAGGGTAGGTTTAGTTGGGCTTGGATCTGCAGCTAACCCGACAACTGCTTATCGTAGTCTTGGTGAGGCTGTTGCTACAGCAGCTAAGTCTTCTCTGGCAAGTAATGTTGCCATCACACTTGCTTCTCCCAAAGGGCTATCTGCAGAAACAAAGCTAAGCACAGCTTCAGCAATAGCAACTGGTACTTGTTTCTTGATCCTTTGAGTCATAAAAGTCGACCTTCAATTTCTGGTTGTTGTTAATTTTGGCATTAAGCCTGGCCTAATATGTCGATACAACAGGAGCTGTGTTGGGGACTCATGAAGATAATAGATTTAAGTCGGAGTCAAATAAACCATCTTTGAAATCGGTGGATATTCTTGGTCTTGGTACTGGACCTGAGATAGAAAAGAAACTGAAATATACTGAAGATGTCTGTGCTGGGATAATTTTTGGGAAAGAGCTTGTAAATGCACCGGCTAATGTTCTCACCCCCGGTTAGAAATCCTGCACCATCTTTCTTATTCCTTTACTGCTTAGCTTTTCTGCTTTACCTTTTAAGTGATAAATATTGTGAATAGTTATCTGTGATGTTTAGAATCAACGGTTTTATGAACTCACTTCCTTTGGGTCTTAGATAAAGTACATTTCTTTAAATTTCACGGTACTTTTATCGGGTAAGATTCTCTTTTATTATTTAATTTTTCTTGCTTCTATATTTCAGCTGTGCTGGCAGAGGAGGCCAAAAGGATTGCTTCCCTGTACAGTGATGTTCTTTCTGCAACAATCTTGGATGTAGAGCAGTGCAAAGAACTGAAAATGGGTTCCTATCTAGCTGTTGCAGCAGCATCTGCCAATCCCCCCCATTTCATCCATTTGTGTTACAAGCCTCCAGGTGGAGTAGTCAAGAGCAAGCTGGCCTTAGTTGGAAAGGGGTTGACATTTGACAGGTTCTTTTCTAGTGAACAGATGTTGCTAGTTTGGTATTATTAAAAGACAAGGGAAAAAGGGTGGTCTTAGAGATACAGCTGAAATTGAATATTTCTCTACGTGTTAGTGCTGTTTATTTTGTTTGTGCCTTTTATGTTTCAGTGGTGGCTACAATATCAAGACAGGACCAGGTTGTTCAATTGAGCTCATGAAATTTGATATGGGAGGATCAGCAGCAGTTCTCGGTGCAGCAAATTCTCTTGGTCAAATCAAGCCTGCTGGGGTAGAGGTAAGTCATCTCTTGGTGGTGAATGTTTTAGGGAATAATGTCCTTATTGAATGACTTGATTTGTTTTCAATTTTATATTTTTTTCCTAGTTCTTTTTTCTTCTCTACATCATGTTAAGCAGGAACATCTACTAGTCTTTTTTCCTAAGGATTCAGTGATTGATTATAGTACATATAGGTTCATTTCATTGTTGCTGCCTGTGAGAATATGATAAGTGGAACTGGTATGAGGCCAGGAGACATTGTCACGGCTTCAAATGGAAAGACAATTGAGGTTAGTAATTCATTTTGAAGGCTGGGTAACATTTACTTTATGTAGATCTTTGCAGATTTTGTGCTTGCTTTTCTTCTATATATAATGCTTTCTGTCGCAAAGAATGTATTCAATTTGTTACATAATTTTTCTTCTTATCTGATTCATTGAAGAAGCAGACTTTTCAAAAAAACAAAATGGATGGCAATAGGTTGTACGTCAACTGAAATTAGATGTATCTAGACAATGTATCTGTATTTAGCTTCAATATTGAGACCTCTGGTCATCTTGCAGAGCTCTTGCACGTTATTCTGGAAATGGATCTTTCCCTGACTCGTTTGCACTTACATTCATTGTTTAGATGTGCCTCCTCTGGATTCAGTTTCCATTATGATATACATCCTTTGCTAAAAATGAACTATATTCCTTCCATCTCCCCCTCCCCCTCCCTCACCCTAATTTAAATTTATGTAGAAATTTTTAGTGCATTCAATTGTTAGTTTTCTAGTTTTATGAATATGTACCTGTATCAAAATTATGAACCTTTATAACTGAATACTGGGTCAATTCAATAATTTAAATTTCCACCACTTGGGTCCAGCCTTCTGCCTGATCATCGAATTTGAATCCAGGCTACATAGTTCTTTTCCATATGCTCTCGTGGGAGATTTTTCTCTTTACGTGGGCATTAGAGTCTTCCTCATCACATTACTTTTGCATGTTTATTTATGTCCAGCTATCTCATCTTAAAGGCACGGTATTTCTTTTGTAGGTAAACAATACTGACGCTGAAGGTAGACTAACACTTGCAGATGCTTTGGTATACGCTTGTAATCAAGGTGTAGAGAAGGTATATCTAATGCATACGCTCTGCACCTTATTTTTGAGAAATATTTATTTCGTGTTTTTTTTTCTTTGCGTCTTATCCCATGTATTCTGGTCTCGGGTCTCCTTCCTGACGACTAATAAAAATACATGTGTTTTAATAGCATGACATAGTTGCTTGTTCTAACCAGTAATATCCTTGAATGGCATTTATAAATTGGCACACTTTCGAAGAATAAGAAAAGCAGATCTGAGTGTAGTTCCAGTCCCATCGTGAAATGAAAATGTAGGTGTTAAGTGATAGGAACAGCTGATTTTTTTTATTTTTTCTTAATCAGATTTTAGGAAATCAGTTTTCACTTTAGTCATACCCCGAATCTCATCTATAAAGTAAAAACCATTTATAAATGGTGGAATTCTGTATAGATACTGGAAAAGTTAATTTCCTTTTTCCTAGATTTCTCTTTGTATATATGTGTGTAACACGGTTTAATTGTTGTGCAGGTAGTTGATCTGGCTACTTTGACCGGGGCCTGTGTAGTTGCTCTTGGACCATCTATTGCTGGTATTGTTAATTTTCTTTTGGTTATATTGGTGTGAAGATTTGCCATGAAATTTTATCAAGCTGCATCTGAGAGGTTTAAAAATGATAGAAAAGAATAAAAGATAATTTTATATTTTATATTAACCAAAGGTGAGTGTGTAGACCACTTACCACGAGTTCTAGGGTGCAAATTTTGATCAGATTTTTGGTTCTTGTTGAATTAATTTAGGTCCAGTACTCGAGGCGAAGAATTTCAAGTCTTCATAAAACATGTATTTTTTACCTTATATATCCACTGATATTTTCCTTTCAAAAAAATGAACAGGTGTTTTTACACCAAGTGACGATCTTGCAAGAGAGGTACTTGGAGCATCAGAGGTGAGTGGGGAAAAACTTTGGAGGATGCCTATGGAGGAGAGTTATTGGGAATCCATGAAATCTGGAGTTGCTGATATGGTGAACACTGGTGGCCGTCAAGGTGGTGCGATTACTGCTGCTCTTTTCTTGAAGCAGGTACAAGTTTTTTATTTTTATTTTCGATTCTTTATTTTTTTTCTCATTTAGATATATGATAGAACCCCAACTGTTAAAGCTGACTGGTTTAATGCAAAGATTAAAACTGAAATGGAAATGAGTAATTTTATTGAAATGAACGTAAGAAAGGACTCCAAACAACCTAGAGCACTGGAGAGGCTCGGGACTCTCCCACTAGACTCAACATGCACGCGAATGCCTTTTCCCTTCCCCAACCCCCCATATTTATTTACACTTCCTACCACAATGCTATGACACTTTGACCCCTAACTAACTAACTTCAGCTGACTTGGCAAGCTACTTCTTCCTTCTAGAATAGGTGAACCGGATTGGGGGTGTATCATTACCCACCACTCCAAAATTCACCTTCTCCTCAAGGTGGAAGCAATCAATTCGCCATATAACCACAAAATTTCTTTTACCAAAAACTCCCATCATGGTCACAATGTAAAAGTGACGTTTATGTCTTTTGAATGGGATGGACTTGCCCAATTGCACAAGTATCTTAACTATAGTATCCCCCACAACTCCGAAGCCAGTTGTCCCTAGCCTCCAAATGTTTCCGTCCTGAACTCGACTCGTCGCGATAAGTGGAAAGCTAACCGCAAGCCCCTTTTGCCCTTTCCACTGAAAATCAACTTCAGTCAACCTTTTAAACAGTGGCCACCATCCGCTATCATCGGTCGGAGCACTGTGATGGCAATCAACCTGAGAACATTCAATCGGAGTATATTGATTGTTGTGGACTTTGGAACGATCTCTATTGAATTCAATGGGTAGACTAGAATAAATTGAGAGTTCGAGTTTGGGCTATGGGTGTTTGTCTTAGTCTCATATCAGTCGTATATTGAGAGTGACTGTTTGATGTCCCTTTGGGCCCAATTCATAATTTTGCCTAACCACTTTGATTTAAGACTTTTGATTTCAGCCCTAACCAACTACTTCAGCCCATTGACATCTCCATCCCGTAATTCATTTGGTATCGCCTGTAATGGAGCTTCCACATTCTCCCACCTTCATGGCCGCCCGCGTCCGTCCCCCCAGTTGAAAACAAATTGTAGCGGCTTCAATTTTCCCCCAATTCGAGATCTAATTCAGGTCGAAGAACCTCCCCTCTCCAAAAAGCCAGCTATCAGAATTACTATCAAGGGAAACCGGCGACTCCAATAGTCGACTGTAGTTTTCTACTTCCCCGGACTCCTCATGAAAACTCCTTCCAACTGTACGTTCTCCTGCTTCATTGATGATGAGTGAAATTTCTGAATCCACAATACTATCCCGTGTCTCGTCAGACTTTGAAGGGATTTCAACATTTAAGGTAGGTTCTGGCGAGTTCTCCATTATCCCCTTCTCCTCTCCGTCTCGCTCGTGTCCATCCAACTTGCGAATCATTGCTTCCAGTTTCTCCAACATTGATGTCATGGCCTTGTGAAATTCAGATTTCATGGCTCCTATTTCCTCTCTTATTTCTGAATTCATTTTCTCAAGCTTCACTTCCAGGTTACTAACCCGATCTTCTAATTCATTTTCTTCAGCCAAAGTAATGTCCCCAGGATAGGCTTTGATACCATTTTGATGGAACCTCAACTGTTAAAGCTGACTGGTTTAATGCAGAGATTAAAACTAAAATGGAAATGAGTAATTTTATTGAAATGAACGTAAGAAAGGACTCCAAACAACCCAGAGCATTCGAGAGGCTCGGGACTCTCCCACTAGACTCAACATGCACGTGAATGCCTTTTCCCTTCCCCAACGCCCCATATTTATTTACACTTCCTACCACAACGCTATGACACTTTTACCCCTAACTAACTAACTTCAACTGACTTGGCAAGCTACTTCTTCCTTCTAGAATAGGTGAACCGGATATGGGGTCTATTAATATACTACTAATTTGGAACTCGAATGTTGCATGTAATTTTGTAATAGTTTTGTGAAGTTTATTTGTTGGAATTTTTTTTTTTTTAAATGAAATGGTTCAAGCGAAAATTCCGATTTTCACTTAACTATTAAAACACAAGTATAACTCAATTATTGGACTTTGGCGCGGCATAAAATGAGTGTATGTCTGGGTTGCTAAATCTTCTATATCACAGGATAATTGGCAGATTAAACTTATACATAAATAAATAAATTGATGCCACTGCATATAATTTGGATCCTCGTTCTCATGTGCGTTTAAAACCAATAGCAATGGAGGGAAATATGCTTACTATGGGTCAGCTTGGCTTGCTTGTGCTTTTTGTATAAGAGCTTCCTCAAATAGAGAAGATAAACACTTATTAAGGGTCTGTTTGGTTGGAGTTTTACTTTTGCATCTTATATAAGAGCTTTCTAAGAAAGCTAACTCAGGCCAATTTTATTTAAAAGCTCTTCTAGCGAGATAGAACACTATGAGAAAATTATCTAAACAAGTTTAAAAGTAGTTTCTTAGTCTCATAAGTAACTTTTGACTTTTCAACCAATTTCAACTCTATGCATGTTGCAGTTTCAAGTATCACATGAATGGTGTTTGAAATGCATAATTATACTGAATACACCTTTGGTGGAAAATATATATACTGGTTTGGACAAAAAACTATATTTATATCTATGTGATATGACATAAAGATGGCCTTATAGTGATGCTGGAGAGTTGCTTAATACACAGAATCTTTCACCATTACTAAAAAATGATAAATGGTTTATCTGGTATTGATCTAATATCTTTTATCTTTCACAAGAGATGATTTTTTGAGTGACGATTTTCTAGAGTGTAATGGTCAAGAAGTCTGATATGTAACCTTTTTCTGCAGTTTGTTGATGAGAAGGTTCAGTGGATGCATATCGACTTGGCTGGCCCAGTTTGGAATGATAAGAAGAAAGCTGCAACCGGATTTGGCGTTTCGACCTTAGTTGAATGGGTGTTCAAAAATTCTTCTTAGTTTCAGATTTTCTATACGACAAAGTTGAGGAAATTAAAAAATCTCATTGAAAATTGTTTGACGCTGGGGACTTTGAACTGTGAAAATAATTTTGTGCTGGCAAAAAAAATGGTATGAAATTGAGGCATGGAACTTTCAGTTTTCTTTTGAATGTAGAAGATAACACTCAGGGAAACATAATTTATGTTATTCCACTCAGGAACTGGACTTTGAACTGTGAAAATAATTCTGTGTTGGCAAAAAAAATGGTATGAAATTGAGGCATGGAACTTTCAGTTTTCTTTTGAATGTAGAAGATAACACTCAGGGAAACATAATTTATGTTATTCCACTCAGGAACTTCCATAATAATTATTCTTTGGAGATTCTATGCAGAGGCAAATTTTACATTTTTACCACGGATATCTCGGTGAGGCTTAACACTCAACTTTACTGGCTTATATATCCATGAAATTTAAGAGTTATAGAAGAAGCACGACTCGTTGTCCATTTTAGAATATGCTCAAGAACTATATTACATATGGTGTACTTCCATAAATACCACGGTGTTTGTCTTATTTTGGTTCCTTTTATTTTGGTATATCTCCATTTTGTTTTCGTTAACCCGGCTATATTTTGTCCTTTATCAGAGAATTGTTCTTTGAGTAGTGCACCAAGAACTATTCTTGTTCTTTTCGTTTACTGTTTTCATTTTCTTCTATTTGGTTGAACAGCAATTCCACTTGTCAATTCCACTTGTACTGAGGAACTGCTGCTATTCTGTTATAGATGCTGCCAGCTGCATCCCCTTTTTTTTCAACCATTCTACAAGTAGCAATTTTCACACCGTTTTTCACAGTGCACACATATACAAGTGGATGGGATCCATGATTAAAATAATAGTGGACCCCACCTTTGTGAGGAAGTGTAATACTTGCTGTCAAAATACATGCTATACAAAATAGCCCTTTTTTTTTTTCTTTTTTCTTTTTTGTCATTTTCCATTTGAAATCTGCCAATCATAATCTATTGTAATTCTGGCAGCATTTTTCTGTAAGCATATAAGGTATGTTAATCGAAGGAGCTGGGGGCAGCTCAGGCCAGGGACTATGGGTTAGGCTGAGGTGAGTTACATGCGACAAGGTAGAGAACTGCAGAGGGGGCCGGCTTATGCTTGGCGGGTTAAATGTCATTTTAGTCGCCAAATTTTCTCTTCGACATAAATAATCGCCAAAGGGACAAAGTTGTCCATTGGTAAATTCAACAGTTTCGTGATATGGCATTAATTGGCATTTATGAGACTGCACAGAATGGTACAGCTAAGAAAGCTACAAATGAAACAGAAAGTTACAAATCTGCAGCATCAAACTGCACATAGTACAAACTTAACAGAAGTGAAATGTTCATCTACTCCTGAAAAAAGTATTCGAAGTTGGGTACCTTGAATCCTTGTTTGACCCACATTCTTTGAAAAAAAAATATATATTTTTAAACAGTATTTTGAATTTTACATTATTTCAATCACTTATTTTTCAATAAAATAATATTAAACATAAATTCAAAAATTTTCATTATTTTTTAATTACATATTTTTCATCAATATACTATTCAAAAATACATTTTTATCTCCAAAATAGGGCTCAAACAAGGGCTAACTTTGAAATGTCAATCTTGCTTCTACTTCATCCTGAAAAAACTATTCAAAATTGGGCTGCTACCTTAACTCTGCCCCAAGAATCATCAACTCCGGCCTACATATGAAACAAACAAATTACCCTCTTTCAAGAAAATATCTCTAGTTTGCTCCAAAGTCCCACAAATGAATGGTGGCATTAGCGGAACATGCAGCCACATGCCTTTCATCTGAAACAAAGGCATTGCATTCACCTATTCTCTCCCTAAAACTGTACAAGTATTCTCCATGCACTATCTCCCAAACCCTAATAACTCCTCCTACACACAATAGGGCATATTCACCATTGACACTTCCCAAAATACCCCTATGGGCGGCGCCCGTTACTATGAAATTACATACTTCCTCCAAGGTCGCCACCCGGCGCACGCTTGTGTTACCGTGCATGTCCATAATTAACATCGATTCGTCATTATTGGCGTCGAAAGAACCTACAATTATTCCCCTATCAAATTCTTCTTCTCCTAGTATTATCCCCTCATTTCGTAAATCAAAGACCATAAGCCTAATGTTTGTGCATGCCACCGCGGATTCATGGCTTGTTACTCTAACTCGACCGATGATATCTATCGATTCATTTAGCAAATGCCAGCCCATTACTGCTTCTGGATCGGTTAGTGAACCGCCAACAAAGACTAGCTCTTCGGTTTCACCGCTCCACACGTGAAAGGAACGACCAGGAACACCTGGAGAAGGATAGAAAATTGGAAAAAGATAATAAAAATGAAACCCCGAAAAGGTCATAAAACAAAAACATGTCCATCTTTTTTAAGTACCTGCGTAGAGGCCAACCCACCTCTGGTTACAACCCGTGAAGTCGACTAAAGCACCGTCATTGACAATATCACCTAAATGGACTCTTCGTAGAGGGTTGACACCAGTGATGACTACCAGATAAATGTCACCATCTAGTGTGGCAAAGATAAGTTGAGCGTCGGATAAGATGATTCCTGACACTGCACAAGAGAAGCGACCAAGGCGATCTTCTCGGTGCTGAGGATAGAAGGTTGCGAGTTGGAGCCTGCTAGGAAGGTGAAATAGGTGAACAGATCCGTCTGAGAATCCAGCAGCAAGGTGGTGGTCAGATAGTGCCAGGCGACGACATGCGAGACCATCATTGTTATTATTCTGGTCTGAGGGGACAAACGGAAGGCTTGTGTATACATATCTACCTAGTTGGTAGTTGTTGGCTGTCCGGTGGCGGTATACATACTCCTCATGCCAAGAATTACGCAAAAGATGCCTGATATTCCATATACGCCTCGTGAGGTTGTGCCATAGAAGTTCAGAGTGCGACACCGCTCGCCAGGAGGAACACACCTGAAATTAGCCAACACACATCATAAATTAAGCTTCATAACTTGTTTGGATGATGCATATATACTATCTGTAAGCAAAAGTATGCTATTATCGGCTTGTTTTACAATTTGCAACTAAAATGACTTCCATTTTGTTCACCAAAAATTTCAAAGTAATTAGAGTCATGTTAGGCTAAGACTAAATTAGAGACAAAACTAGAGACCTTCTCCCATTTGTCATTAGAAAACCAGTTTCCTCGAAAGTGAAACGAGGCATTTTTAGATCAAAATTAATCCTAACTTTTAAAATAAGTAACAAGAAAAATTAAAATGTGCTAGAAGTAAAAAGTTGCACATAATTAAAAGAAATTTTAAGCTCAATTCACAAGAGGTTTTTAAGTTCAATTACATACATGACACCCCAAAATTAAATTCATAACAAAATACCATTTAATAAATAGATTTTTAAGTCCTTGTATAGTTGAACTTCTAAATGATTATATTCAAAATCTAGAGTTCTAAACAATCACCCCTTTCTTCAAGGCTTTACATTGGATAAATGTTACAATTTTGACCTACTTTCCTAACATTTTAATCTCTCTTTTCTGGTAACCTTGGGATCTCCTAAATTAGTGCTGTACCTGATCATTATATAAAAGCAATGTCCAAATCCAAGAATTCTGATGCAGGTATGCTCGATCCCACAGGATCAAAAGCCAATTTTCATTATTTATCAGCAGTGGAGGCTGAGTTCCAAATCATGCTGTGTATGCACCTATACACGCGCATATAGAGATGTTTGGTAAAGCTTTTTTTCTAGATTATAAGTTGATGGTAGTATGAAATGTGTAGTGTAGGTAAAATGTAATAAAAGCTTCAGCTTATAAGTAGCAAAAAGATTTTCCACGGGAGATTCGGACAGGCAGCCTATTGCTGCTTCTATGACATGCATAGATAAATAGAGCAATTATGCTATGGATACAGATTTTTTAGACAGAAACAGATAACACTTGACATGATAGTATTAAAAGATGGGAAAAAAACTGGCCATTCAGGTTTGACCTCATCAGCGTCATATCAGTTCTGTCAAAATTTCCCTGTACTTGAAGCTTTATTGTAGATCGAGTGTAAAACTAGTTTGACAACATTTGAGGTGTCAAAATCGAGAATATTGATTTGAAGAATTAGTCTACTTGTACACTTTTTGTGTACATCATGAATTACATTCGATCTAGTTTGACAACATTTGAGGTGTCAAAATCGAGAATATTGATTTGAAGAATTAGTCTACTTGTACATTTTTTGTGTACATCATGAATTACATTCTTCTCACATTGTATGCAGGTCATCCTCAATGTGGGATTTGTTCATTATGTACACAAAAAATATACATGTAACATCACTCTAATTTGAATAAATATTGTTAAAATTAATGATAAAATCGTATGTCATGTCAAAGAATGTAAATAAAGCTTTTAATCATAGTGTAAGATGAGCTTAAATAGTTTATTCGAGCTGTCATATAGCCTATAGATTTGTACTGGTGTCCTCATATAAATCCCTACTAAAGTACAAATCCGTATATCAACATGACAACTTTATTCCATAGCTATCCGCGTGAAGAAATAAAGAGCCAACAAGCAAGTGTTGTCTAATCTCAGGCAATTATAAGTGCAACAGGAAAAAGGAAAATAGAAAAGGATAAAGAAAGTACAATCCGATGAAAGCGAAATCAGTATTTTTCTGCTGCTGGGATATTTTTGAAGCTACATGCGCCTAGTCCAGTGAGTTGGCAGATTACTAAATATTGATTTTGACAATATTTTTTTTCAAAAAATGGCTAGATTTTGACACATGGGAGTGTCAAATAAGATGTACATATTTAGCTTAATCTTTCATTTTTTTGAAATATTATTTCTTGTAAGATTATAAGCTACTTTTTTTGGATGCTGAGATCACTCCTCATACAGCAGTGTAAAGTTGAAGGGTCATCCGCGGGTCGTGCAGCGTGGTCCTTCCTCACGGGTCTCTGACGATAGTTTCAGAGTGTTAGGTTATCGAAGCATAGAGAATCCAGATATGTGGAAAGAAAGATTTGGAAAGTTGAGTCAAAAAGTAGAAAATGGATTTTCTGAGCTCAAAAGGGATTATGCAAAGAAAGGGAAAAGAATATTCAAAGAACCAAAAGAACCCTTTTCTCTATGTTTTAAAGAACTGATAGCTATCTTCAAGAAAGGTCAGCCAAAAATGGACAATTCTTTTAGAGTAATGACGCTACATTTTTTCTATTGACAGCTGAAAACCAAACACAATAATTCTGTATGTTTGGTTAAAAGGAGATCTTAAAAATATGATTTTATGTATGGAAACTGTGTACTTTTTGAATTTGGTATAAATTTATGTA